CCCCTTTTTAAAGCAGAAAGACATGCTCAAAATCTGAATCTTTGGCTTGAGTTCGTTCAATGCTGAAATAGACAACTAAAAAATAGACAACCTGGTAGACAACTAAAAAAATTAAATTTTAAGGCCCGGACTCTAAAGTGTCCCCTCACTTTGACGATGGCACTACATTTAGTTATGAAAAATGAAATGAAAAATAGCGTTATAATGGTTTTCAATGGGCCGTTTTTTGGCTCTAGGGCCAAAGGTGGATGCATATTTGTAGCTTATTTTAAGCTAATTTAATGAACTCAGACCGCAATTCTAAAAATGTTTTAAAAAAAAATGTTTGGCAAATTTGGCTATATTCTATTCAACACAGTGAAAATGGCTTGAAATTAAAAAACACAGTGGATGAAAAATGGCTCCAGGACCCTCTTTCTAAGGGTTTGCTACCAGTCCTTCATTTGTGGTTACGAGTTACTTTTTAAAACACTCACTCTCATTCGTTCCTTGGCGTTGACCAACTCTCGTTTTTTCACAGTTTGGCTGAAGTCCTCGGCCACGAAGTATAAATTGTCCCGTCCTCGTTTGAACTTCTCGATGTTGCAGTAGACAGGGAGCGCGGACTCGCCCGTCAGCCGCTTCAAAATGTCACTCATGGATTCCTCCTCCGGTACCTTCATTTTAACGAGTACCGTTTGATAAAAATAAGCTACCACCTGGTCGATTTAATTCTTTATCGTGGCGCCATGTAAAAGAGAACAGCGAGAGGCCTCTGGCGTGGCGGAGAATCACACCTGCGTCAGGAGGGTTTTAATTAGAGTCAGGTGTTGTGCCAAAAAGGACTTCCGGTATTTTCCACACTGAAAAAAAAAGAAATTTTGAGCAGGAAAGAACATTCCTGTTACATAAAAGCCGCTATCAGTTTGGGGTAAATGGACTTTTATATATCCTTTATTTACCAGGGGAAAGTCTCACTGACATTAAAAGTTTATTATTTAAGAGTGACCAAGTGGGCAGCAGAAATTACAATGAATTTAACATAATAGTGCTATCAAGATATTCATAGGCTGGTTGAATATACTTTAGGTACAATAACACAGAGTCATAAAGATACTTGCAAACTTGGTAATTTCTTCATATGTAGTTTTTCATAAATCCAGTTGACTTCAGTCCTTTTTCCAACATAAGCAAAACATCACACAGAAAAAAAAAGATATTTGCCAAACATATCCATGATGATCAAGTCATTTTAAGCCAGAGAGAACATCCCTGTCTGAGAAATAAGTGCCTCCTTCACACTTCCATAGCTTTATTTTGGTGTCTGATCACTACCATGACCCATTACTGACGGCATTATTCACACAACAGGTTGCTTGTTAATATGTCAACAAGCGATCTGTTGTTATCTCTTTAGCATAATCTGGAAACCTCCCTCAAATATAAAAACATTTCACTGCTGAAATCCACACAATGACTTTTTAAACAGTAGTCTGGAGAATTAATAGAGGCCTGCTTTTCTCACACCAGGGAGACGTTTAAAATAAAAACATATTCAATTAAAGCTCCATTCTGACAATGTGTCACATCAAAACATATCTTTTCAGATTTTACAAATTGCTTTCATGTTCACACCTCGGCATCTTTATTGTCTTTAGGGCAAGTCAGACAACTTTACACTGCCTCAAGCAAACCCTCAGCTTAATGTCAGATGTCTCCTGTCTGCTTTAACTCCTCCACCTCCACAGCTGCTTTTCTGGGAAGATTTTTCTGCATTTCTCCATTGTTCATGTAAATCAAAAGTTTCAGATGCTCTTTCACCTCCAACAGTCAAATCCCAGTTAAGCTTTTCTCAAAGCTTCTACTTTCTCCACATAAAGAGGAACTTTCACAAGTATAGCCACAGAATTCTTCTCAGCTGTTTAAACTCTTTTTTTTGGCAAATCTTTAATAAATGACAGAAAATCATACTGAGATCCCTGTTTCACACCATGAAAACAGTCCTGTGAGATATTCAGGATGGTGCTGGCTATCCCAGCTGCCAGTGATGTACACTGGATAGGTTACATGTCTATCACACAGTATTGTCATGGTCCTGGGTCGTGCGACCCAGTGTTTTGTGTTTAGTCTATTTTGATGTTTATTGTTTGTTTAGGTTCATGAAGTTATTCTAGCTCGTTTGTAATTATATTACCCTTGTGTTAAGTCTCCCTTGCCCTTCATGTCTGTGTGTCTTATGTTGCCAAGTTCATGTTGTCATTTCTGTCATCTTCCCCTGTACTCAGTCTCCCTGGTTCGTGCATCTACCTGTCATGAGTCATGTCTGCGTGGTTATGTTTAGTTCATGTCATGTCTAATCTCCATGTTTCCTGTTTTACTTTGAAAGTCTGTATTCAATGTCAGTGTATTTAGTTTCACTTCTCCTGTCCTGTCTTTAGGTTCATGTGTGTCAGCTGTGATCCCATGTGTGGCCACTTCCCCTGATCATCCCTCATGTGTGTTTAGTCTCGGTGTTTCATACAGTCTGTGTCGCGTCGTCTGTGTTCCCACGGTCGGTCTTTGCAGTTATCACCATAGTCTCTGAGTCTTCTTAGTTTGTCGCAGTACTAGTTTTCCCAGTTTAGTTATAGTCTAGTTTAGTCACGCTATCCCTGTTGTGTTTGTACACTTTGTCTTCAGCCATAATAAAGGCTCGCTTTCTGTTAAGTTCACTCCCGTCTACTCACTTGTGTACGCACCTGGGTCCATCACACACACCACCACAAGGCCTGTCTCCGCAGACCGTGACAAGTATAACATAATATACAATATAATAAAAAGCTATTTATCTCTAAATGAATACAACATTTGTACAATTTAAAAACGTTAACTTCCTGTAGGCTTCTCATCAACCACCATGGTCTCCATGCCATTATGGGAAAAGATTGTAAATGTACGCAATTCCCTAGAATGTAGAATGAAAATGGTTATTTTTAAAATGAATTCATTATTATTTTCTAAGATAACTGAAAATGCAACGTTCGGGTGAACACAATCAGCTTTCTGGGAATTCATATTTTTTCTTTCAGTTGATAACTTTGTCATTACAACCAAGCACTGCAATTAACGGTTAACCTTTTTAAGATATGAAAACTCTAAGGAAAATACAGCCTGAGTAAATAACAGGTTTGATAAAAGTCCCTTTAGAGGAATCTAAAGCTTGATTATATTCAAGCTTTAGATTTCTTTTTAAGGCAAACAATTATGTGCTTGTCTTTATGCTATTGTTAGGCTTGGAAACACTCAGAAATTAGCTTGTTAAATAGGAAGGCCTGTGACTCTGGGCTGGTTTAAGCTTTTCAACAAAAGGCTGTGAGGCCTGCCATACTTCAGTGTATTTAACTGCTGCACTCGACAGTGCATAATTACAATAAGCTATTTTCACTATAAGAAAAGACCAGAGTCCTCCAGTCCAACAGCCCATTTCAACAGGGGAAGGGACACTCGCCCCACAAGTCATTCATCACATGTTCAATCCATAACTATGTTTTTCATCAAATTTCTCTGTGAAAGCAGGTAAGTGTAAGCATGAATGCTGCAGTCTTTTTTTGGTCTTCATTCACTCAGAGAAGCACATATCTATGTCCTTTAATCTCCCATCAGAAGAGAAAATAGGCAGATCGTGAGTATAAACTGTACTTAATGTATCTAGTCCTATTTTCTTGCAGAGTGATGTGAGATATCCAATAAAACTGCATCAGGGATTGCTGATTCAGCAGGAGTGAGCACATGACTTGTACTGCTAAGAGAGTCTAAAACAAAGGAAGTAACCGCCTTTTACTTCATGGGCCACCAAGGCATAACATCCCATATGAAAAGAGCACCCCTCTTTGTTTATATTTAATAAGTTTACAGCAAAGGTGTCAAATGTAAGGCCTGGGGGCCATAATTGGCCTAGGAAAGGCTCCAATCTGGTCCACTAAATGGCTTTGTAAAATTTAACGTAGGGCATAGATTTTGGACTGTTAACTCTATTTTCATAAGTATAATTGTGTATATTCTGTCTCAAGCTCTCAATTTACTGGTTGATCTACGTCTCTACCCTCACCTATGGTCACGAGCTGTGGGTAGTGACGGAAAGAACGAGATTGTGGATATAAGCGGCGGAAATTAGCTTCCTCTGAAGGGTGGCTGGCCTCTCCCTTAGAGATAGGGTGAGAAGTTTGGCTATTTGGGAGGGGGTCAGAGTAGAGCCGCTGCTCCTTCACATCGAAAGGACCCAGTGTCCCACTGGGAGGAGGCCCCAGGGCAGACCCAGGACACGCTGGAGAGATTACATCTCTCGGCTGGCCTGGGAACTCCTTGATGTTCCCCCGGACAAGCTGGAGGAGGTGACTGGGGAGAGGGAGAACTGGGCTTCTCTGCTTGGGCTGCTGCCCCCCAAGTCCCAGCCCCGGATAATCGGAAGAAGATGGATGGATGGATGGATAGTTTCCTTAATGGTTAGAGTGTTTAACAGTAAACAACCATGTCTAATTGTATCAAGAGAATCAACCTGTCTTCAACAAAACCCTTAACGTACAGCCTTTTTTTCCGTTGCTATTCATGTGTAAAGTGTTCTTGGGTTTCTTGAAAGGCCTTATACAAATTTAAGTCATTATTATTTTTATAATACTCCACCTCACCTGACCATAAAAGCAGGTCTAGAAGATCCTGGAGTGAATTAGCACTTCCTGGCTGTAATCCTGTAGATGGCAAATTGCAGTATGAAGGAGAGCTAAGAAACAGATTAAATCAAATGCAAATCTTAAAAATAAAAACTTCAAACATTCGGGGTAAGGAAGGTCTCTGCAAGTCTGCACGAAAAGAATCTGAGTAAGCTGTATGAAAATGGAGGAATGGTGTTTTTTCAGTTATATTTCCTGTGCTTTTCAGTGTTTTGCCAGTCAGAGAAAAACTGACAGCTACCCTTTGAGAAATTGCACTTTTAGGATGATCAATAAATCACAGCAGCAACTATTAAATATACAAAGTAAACCGAAAGCAAGGATTTAACTGTGTGTGTGTGTGTGTGTGTGTGTGTGTGTGTGTGTGTGTGTGTG